TGGAAACGTGCAACAAATTATTGATTATTGTATTGTTATCGGGAGCTGAGCTTCCCTAAAAGTTTCAGAGCGCTAGCTAATGGGAAAGTTGGTGAAATATTGATTGCAAGATTTGATCATCACAGACACGAAAGCGAGCTAAGAAAAACGTGGTAAAAAAATCAAGTGATTTAATCATTTTGATTTAATCATTGCCAACCCTGCTTGCAACAGAATAGCCAAATTTTGCATTATTTGCTCTATTCATATTTTAGAAAGAGTTTCTACTAGTAACATCTACTTGCCAGAATGGTGCCATTATCTGTGAATTGCCAACTAGAAATTGAAAGTGCTGAACAGGATTCTAATTTCCCTTATTACTAGAATCTTGTGGCTCCCACGTCATGAATTTTCTATACATTCTTGTAGCCTGATCATGCATTTTTCTTAACAATTATCCCAATCTTTCCTAAATGTTGTAAATATCCTAAATGTAGTTTTATTAGTTAGGTTCTTTTATTTCCAACCAACAAATAGCTTCTACTGTTTGACTTTCCTGAGTAGACTATGTGCTTGTGCCACCAGCAAGCACAAAGGAACATCATTTCACTACCATATAACCCTTTTGTGACTGGCGGACTTCTTGGTCCCAATCCACTAGGTATGAATAGCATTGACAATGTTAAATATATCCATGATGAAAGGGTACATGCATGTTGTCAAAATTGTCCATATTTGATTTTCCCATTCTTCATTTTTTTTTTAGTTAAATATATCTTTTGAAATTATTGCTGTTTACTTTGATGTAAACAGTTAGCTCCATAATACAGATGACTAGAACTTCCAAGTAACAGGAGCTTGTAAACAAATAACATTAAATTGATAATGAGACCCACATCTGCCATTAGAAAGCACCAGAAATTCAGATTATCTATGTCATATTGTCGACTATAATTCTTGGCTTTTGAAATAGAGTAAGCAGTATTGTGATTTCATTTATGTATTCACCAAATATTATTTTTTTATTCGTGTTTCTGTTCTTTACAGATTTGAAAGTTTTGTTATTGCAACTGCTATATGTTCAATTTGTAGTTATTCACTATGGCATCTGCCAATGACAGTGGTTTAAGCAGCAGCATTCTTTCTATGGACTCTTCAAGCTGCAATCTTGAGATTGAAAAGCCATTGTTATCTGGAGATAAACCAGACCCATCCCCATCGTCATCATCAGCATTAGACCCAAGCCATAGCACAAATGGTGCCATAGGAGTAGCACCAGCACCTGGTGTTACCTCAATCTGTGACCCAACGTGTGGCGATGGTGGGTCGGCTGCCATTGGGGAGCAGTTCCTCATACTTGCTAAGTCTGCAAAAGGAGCTGCAGCTGTACAACTCATCAAAGAAGCTCTTGAAGCTCCTGGTCTTTATGTCTTTGCAGAACTTCTACAAATGCCAAATATTAAAGAGGTTTGTTTGTCAAAAATTATAGGTCTTTTTAAATAAGATGAATTTCATTCATTTTTATTGGTATGCATTCACTTCTGGAAGATGTATTATTATGAGATTTTCTGTACATAAATTTTGACGAGTTCATCTAGATTTGTCTTCATTTAAATAGGGTATTCTTATTTAATGTTTTTTTGTAATATAAACATTTCTTCTAATTTTATTTTTACCAAAAGCAAATTCTACATGGATAGCCTTCTTCCTTTCTCATCCATCATAGTGTACATTTTATTTCCTTTTCAGCTGAATTCAGTGGTTGAATACAGCTCATACTACAGACTGGTGGAGGTGTTTGCATTTGGAGTTTATGAAGATTACCTGAAGAGCGAGCCTCCCTTGCCTCCACTCTCCCCTCTTATGCTCACCAAGCTTCGTCATCTCACCATCATCACCATGGCAAACTCAGCCAAAACTTTACTTCTTGATAATTTAGTTAAGGAACTTTGCTTAAATAGTCGGAGAGAGTTGGAGGATTTAATAATTGAAGCTATTTATGCAGGTGAGACTACTATTAGATATTGAAGCATTACTTTGTTTCTTTGGTTAAGAATCGAGTCATATTGTCATGTATGATAGTTAGCAAATTTCCATTTCTATGCTCCATAGCCTCGTAATATTCATCATTTCAGTCGACTTGAAAATTCTTCAGTTCATTTCATGAATGGAATTAATGAAAAAAGTTTCTGTGGTTACTTTCTTAGATGTGCTACATGGCAAACTGGACCAGAAGAATGGGGTCTTGGAAGTGGACTTTGCCTTAGGGCGTGATATCAAGCCTGAAGATCTACCTGATATTGCTGCTACTCTTAAGGTTTGAACATTTGTTTTGATTTGCATGCAATAATAAACCTAAAAATCTTCCTGATATTTCTGTCCATCTCAAGAGGTTGCTAGTTTTACTCAGTTTCCCCTTAGGTTGAAAAATGAAGCCAATGAATACACAGAATTGATGTTATCCTTGGCTGTAAAAATTAATAAATTCCTTTTTAAATTAAAAGTGTCATTCCAATATAATGTGACTGATATTCTACGTTTACAGGCGTGGTGCAATAATTGCAATGGACTGCTGGGAACTCTCGAGTCGCTTGTGTTGAAAGCCAACAGTCAGAAGGAGCTAAGTATACAGCAGGCCAACTACATCGAGTTTGAGGTACAAACTCCCGAATAAAAATAATTTATGTACAGAAAATTTCAAGCATTAGCACAGAATGCAATTTGGATTCAGAGTTATACTTCAATTCATCATAACGTATTTAGTCGTTCCAACAATGATATTTGTCTTATTATTAAGAATTGAATAAGGACAGAAATAATCATATGGTCGTATAGTTAGTCTAGTTTTTGAGAATAGTGAATAATAGCAACTCTCGGGAAATCATTTCATTTTTCTAGTAAAGAATGACCACTAATTATGATATCTTTACTCTAACATCATTTTTTTGGGTAAGCACTTTTGGTACTAATTTGTTTGAAATTTTTTGGATTTTCTTAAAAATTTATAGTAAATTAATGGGCCTTATGATCCATATTCCTGGCAGGTAAACAAAATAAAGGCTAATTTCCTGCGGCAAGCTGGCTCGAGCGGTGACACTGAAGATGGTGCTTCTCAGATCGAAGGTCTCAGAGATTTCGAGAAGAAACTCCACAGGCAGAAGAAAGGCACTGGGTCTTCAGGCATGACTAAGGCGATTCCTTCTAAATTCTGGCCTAAATCTTCGTAGCGTCCTAAGTTCATCGTGTATTTATAGGGCAACGAATAAAAAATATTCTTGTAGGAGTGAAGTGGACAGGTGTTTTCACAGTAGATTTCAGCTCCTCAAAAAACGTAATAAACATGCGGTTTAATTATTCTACGTATATGAATTGAATTAATTAATGTGACTCTTTGGAAGCAAAGCTCTGTTTTCTTGTGAGATCAGTTTATAAACGCCATTTTAGTCTTTCTGACGAATATTTCCTGGCCAAACCCAAACAATTATCATTTATTTCCTTTTGCTATGCTTACACTAAAGCTCACAATCAACGCAAATAAGCTTTCCATCTACAAGTCAAAATGAAAATCTCTACAATATTTTCCAACAGCATAACCTCCGAAACCATATATTAACACGCTTGGCGTGGTTAAATTTATTATAAACGTAACACTTGCCTAGTTACTCAATTTTACGTCTGAATCTCCAAGATAGAACTTTGTCTGAATTTTCACCATTTTTTTTGGGGAGGGGGGGGGGTGTGTTTTGTGAGATAAAAACAAGAAGCTGGTCGTCCCGTTAACTATAAAGACGAACAATTCCTTGTCCCGTCAGTTATTCCTCGTGTATCAATTTTTCATTTCGCTTTAATGACTCACATCTACCCCAGTGAATTAACACGAGGCCTGCTTGGCCATCTTTTTGGCTTTCGATTCCTTTGGCAACGTTGATATTCTGAGGATCCTAAACTATTTTGCGTATAGGTATCTGCGATGTGTTTGGAAATTAAATTCTATGAGCAGCGAGGTCCCTGTCTCCATCTTCAGCGGAGAAAACTTCAGGATATATCGTTTTATGGTAAATTGTCTCATTATCCTCCATTGGTTGACATTTTCTTAACTGGCGCATGGCATGAATGTAAACACTAAAGAACTATGCCCAAAATGTGACTGTTAACTTTGTCAAGCGAAATGAACTACAGAACTATCGTAGGAACATTTTCTATTCACTCAAGTGGCGTCATGCTGCACCTTAATTCGTAATCCTATTAGCATAAATGATTCTCCATCAGTTTCCGTACTGAAGTAAAATTGGAAGTTATATAACCAAATGGTCGATTAAAGAAATTTGGCACGACATTTTTATTTAATATCAACAGCAGCATAAGCAAACTACATTTTAGTCAAAGAAAAATTAATTTTCTGATCAAGGTGATCTGTTCTTCCTTATCTAAAAATTTCAAACTCATCGATAATCTAATCAAATCATTGAGCATAGAAGTTTTGGAAATTAAATTCTATGAGCAGCGAGGTCCCTGTCTCCATCTTCAGCGGAGAACACTTCAGGATATATCGTTTTATGGTAAATTGTCTCATTATCCTCCATTGGTTGACATTTTCTTAACTGGCGCATGGCATGAATGTAAACACTAAAGAACTATGCCCAAAATGTGACTGTTAACTTTGTCAAGCGAAATGAACTACAGAACTATCGTAGGAACATTTTCTATTCACTCAAGTGGCGTCATGCTGCACCTTAATTCGTAATCCTATTAGCATAAATGATTCTCCATCAGTTTCCGTACTGAAGTAAAATTGGAAGTTATATAACCAAATGGTCGATTAAAGAAATTTGGCACGACATTTTTATTTAATATCAACAGCAGCATAAGCAAACTACATTTTAGTCAAAGAAAAATTCGTTTTCTGATCAACGTGATCTGTTCTTCCTTATGTAAAAATTCCAAACTCATCGATAATCTAATCAAATCATTGAGCATAGAAGTGTAAAAAATATAACTCAGTACTCACAGCAGTGAGTGACAGCGCATTTTCTCGTCGATGAAAACTTGAGGTCACGGACGGACGGACGGACAGCCAGATGGACATGGCGAGCACAATAGTGAATTTTTTTCATGAATGAGAAAATGCGCTAAAAGGCTGAATACTAAGAACAAAGAAAAAAATTGTTTTAAATCGCCGTACGCTGGACGTACTCGCAGAACGTATATAAGATCCACTTGAACTTGGAACGGTCTTCCACTTGAACTGTTCAAGATACCAATTCAATGGAAAACGCCAGGACGTCGTCACATCTCTCATGTTATGTACCATATCTCATCTCGTCAATGAAGGCAATTTGCAATATTTAAGACGCAAAACAATATGAATCAGACAGCAGTCAAAAATATTGATTCACTTAATAAAAGACTAAGAAAACAAGAGAACAGATAAAGTTTCAAATACATAAAACGAGTATTTTATTCGAGACCATCAGGTAACATTTGGCGACATAAACAATTTCCAATGCTAAATTTAAGAAAAGGAATGTAATATTGCTCTTCTTTGCCCGCCTTAATTTAACCAGAATACTAATGGTTTCACGTAAGCACACTTTCACAGACTTGACTACTTGCAGCCATGATCAAGCCTAATTGTAATGCAACGTAAAAATAACGGATTTTCATGCGCAATGCTTTCACAAAATTTCCTTTTTTTCCTCCTTCTCATGCGCAAAGCTTTCACGAACGTTTCATTTGATATATTTCTTAAAAATTGGAACGATCTAAAAATGTCTATACTTTGACGGTTAGATTTGTTCGACAAACTGAGTGGTAGAAGGAACTACTGTCACGACTTCTTCATCAACCGCATTGATTTGTGCAAGAATGTTACGTTGGTTCTTGGTGAACTCCTCCTCTATTGTCCTGCACTGCTTTGCTTGAAGCAAGTTTCGAGGTGTGCTGCAGTTGGTCTTATTGCTGCTCGATAAGGGCGACCTTGTCATTGGTGCCGGATTTGATACATTCTTAATGCACTTCTCGTCCTTGGTGCTGCTCTCCTTATTTTCTTTGTCATCTTCCACATTGGATTGATCAAACTCATTATTTTCATCTTTGCTCGACTGTTGATTTTGTTCCTGAATTGAATTTTTGGCTGAAGCGTAAGCCACAGAACTAGAACTTGAATTGGCGTCTCGAATAGAAACCTTAAAAAGCTTGTCTTCAAGAGGAGTACGTGGCACTGTAACTGAGGGAGATCTAGGATCGTTTTCTTCGTCTCGAATACCAAAGCTCAATTCAGGAGTGGGCGACTCATCGGGTTTATTCAGAGCGTGAGGCTTGCTTCTAATGCCAGATGATTTGGGGGTTGACAGAGCAACAGTGGAAGCATTATCGGCACTGTCATCAATGACTATCGGCGTTCTCGTGACCTGGAAAAAAGGTCTTTGGCGATCAGTATCTACTTGAAAAACAGTAGGTATACAAGAAATTGTAAATTCAGATGAAGCAAATCTACAATAAATTTGAGTGTAATGAAGTTGAAATAGCAATAAAATTGTCGGGTCATTTATCAAATTTCTGCAAACAATAAAATTGTTTGGTCATTTAAAAGCGAAGAAAACACCACAAAAATTTAGCATATCTATAAGGGCGAGATATGCTAAATTTTTGTGGTGTTTTCTTCGCTTTTAAATTTCTAGTGAATCTGCGATTAAAGCAATCTAGTGACTTTTTTACTTGTTTGGTCATTTATTAAATTTCTGTAATTAGGTCATGAGGCATAGAAGATACGTACATTAAATGTTAGGTACAACTGTATGAGAGGGAGCAATTTCCTTCTTACGTTGAAGTTAAAGTATTATAAACCAAAAGAAGAAAAGAAAATATTTAAGCAACAAAGAGAGTGAAAATCTACAAGCTACAAGAACAGGCAAAGAAAAACTTCAGATCTATTGGCAATGCCACCATTCCAAGCTTTGGCAACTACCCGCTTCACTAGAGTATTCATTTATAATAAAATACCTGCTCTCTCATGCTGGCTATGATTGGAATGAACTAGAATAACGATTATTATACAATGATCAGATGGAACCCTTGTGGACCACATTTATGTATATATGTCATTAGAAACGTACACAATAATAAAATTTATGAAAATTTCTGATCATGACGGAGCAAATTACCTGCACTATCAAACAGTCGTTTTTGTCAATTATACTTTTACTTTCGTGTGTATTCTCCATGCCCAAATACAGGGATTATATATGTGTCCCTGGTTATAGTATAACCTAAATCAACAGGTCAGACTCGATATATATTCAGAGTTCCCACATCCCCCAAATAAAAAAAAAATTCAATATTCTCATCACATGCAGCCAATCAGCATTCGTTAACCTTGCAAATTAATGGTTGTTTACGATTCGAAAATTTATAATGAAGTCATGGACATAAGCCACAAGCTAATCTGTTTGCTGTGTTCTCTGTAATGGAATTTTTTGAAACAATCTCACTTTGATCTGCACTACTCCAAAAATGAACACATTTTCAAAAAATGTGAAAACCCAGCATGAATCTGTCCCAATGAAGTGAGATCTTTTCTATAACTGGGAAAAAGGTTCTCCAATACGAATTGAATGGTGCTAAAATAAATGTGAAAGGAACTCAATAGCAGATCGGTACTAATGGTATATTAATATACCCTAGTATATACATCTATTTCACTAAATCCAACAATTATATACCTACATAGGAATATATCTTGTTATAGGTACTATACCTTTAAGTTTAACACTGTATAAATCAGTGTATATACACCCTACCAACTACAAACCCAGATGAAAATTAAAAAAAAAATTATGGTTTGGCAATAAAATTTCCAACAGTACTGACACTGAGAACCTGAGGTCAGAAGCAACTCAGAACATGCTTTTTTGAGGGCTTCTGTGGAAACTAACAGTGAAATTTATGAATTCGACTGTGGGCACAATCACAATATAGTTAAATTTAATAAAGGAAAAGAGCATCACCTGTTGTGAAGGAGAGCGAGGGTCAACATCCAGGACTCGTAGGCTGGTGGCAGGATTTGCTGGTCTTGCTGGAGTGCAGTCCTCACCAGTTGATGTCACCTGTACACCATATGAATGCAATGTAATCCAACATTCAAGTGAAAATCACTCAATGCACAATGTCCAATCTCTTGGAACAAATATATAAATGTTTTGGATATTTCTTTTTATATATAAGGAATGTATATATATGCCTAATAGAAGATCAAAATCATAAAACAAATTTACCATAGCTTACACTGTAAAATATGCTACAGGACAATTTTCAAATAAACCACATACTGTGATGGGAGTGCGAGTTATATGATCAGTAGGAGAACGTGGGTCAAAAGGGAGCACTTTCCTAAGAGGAGTAGAATTGACATCTTCTTCAGGACAACTAGAGTTGCCATCACTGCTCTTGACATGGTTGGCACTGTTTGTTTTGCTTTTACTTGATGAAAGCCCCATACTAATTACTGCTGGCGAAGCTTCACTTGGAATCTGAACAAAAATAAATTAAATAAGTTATGAAACTATTATAAACTTTGTCCAAGTATGAAATTATCATGAGATTATAAAATAGCATATAAAAGCTGCTCAATTAACCATCTGCCCAAGGTTTGGAAAATATGTATTGGTACCATCAACCGGGGCTACTCGGGACTGGCGGGGTAACTCAGGACAGTCCTCTGACACGGCGTAAAACTGTTTTAGTAGCAAAACTAATTGGAATATTGCAAAACTAAATATAGTGGCGTAAACGTCAACATTTTTCTATCTATGTAGTATAAAGGAAGTCAAAAAATACTACATTTACTAGCTTTGAAAAATTCCTGAAAAAAATGGTGAAAAACACTATATTGAAAAGTTACTTCTGCTAAGGTCTGTAGTAAAAAAATATTTGCCCTATTAAAAACTTTTTGCTTAGAAAAAAGTGGAAGACAAGTGTCAGCATGAAAATTTTATTTGCAGAATTTATATAACGCAATCAAAAAAAATGGCAGCCATTTCCGCGGGGCTACTCGGGACACCCCCTCAGGGCTATTTGGGACACCCCAAAAACGCATTTACAGTAGAACCTCTGTTAGCAAAGCCTCCAGTTAAGAAAAAAATTGTTTAAAAACAAAGAATATTGATTACATTTACCTCGCTCAGCAAGAAAAATTTCACTTATCAAAAAATTAGTGCATCATCGGTCATCACAAAATTGTTTATAGAATGTCATATATAGAATTATGCACCAGGCATCATAGAATGAAAAGTAAATGACCTGAACTATGATTTATTTCTCCAAAACATATGATGGTTGTCACTAAAACATGTCACTAAAACATTCCTTTCTGTTTCAGGTATGTTTTTCATGATCTTAGCACATTTTCTCATTTATGGAAAAAATGCACTATTGTTCTCTCCATTTCCGTCTGTCTGTCCATCCGTCTGTCCATTCGTCTGTCCGTGACCTCAAGTTTTTGTTGACGAGAAAATGCACTCTGTCACTCACTGCAGTGAGTACCGAGTTATATTTTTTATAGTAAATTTACTTAACCCAATTAAAATGGTGCTAAATTACAAGCCGTCCAGTAAGCTTACAGATACAGAATAAATGCAATAAGGCTGCTGATATGAAGCTTGCAGTGGACAAAGTTGTTGTAAATGCTCAATGGTATGTTCATGGATACAGTAATATCGCATCAATAATACGGTAATTAATGTATATGGTAATATCATATCGATAAATGACAAAGAAATAAAAACCACAGAAAATGTCATTTATTCTACTTCTACATCATCTACAATGAAAGAGGAGGACTTAAGAGTACTGTTAGTAATAGATGAGCAGAGGTGGGCAGTAGCGCCCTACATGTAGTGGCTGCTACTAGCGGCCGCTACATTTTCAGTAGCAGTAGCGGCTCTACATTTAAGGCAATGTAGCAGTAGAGGTAGCGCCCGCTAAATATTTAAGTAGCGATACAAGGTTTTGCCGCTACAGCGCTACCGCTACATTAATAGATAAAGCCTTTAGATTTTACTTAAGGGGACCGGCTACCCTCCAACAAAACTATTTTGTTTACAGATGGATCGTTTTGAAACTTGGTACACATATGTAAAACAGAAATCTAAGACCTTTTTGTT